AGTGAGCGCGCGACCCGGATCAGGCAAGGTGAACAAGGCGACCACGGTGATTCAACGACCTTTTCAGGCTGGGGGGAAAAATAAATAAATAAATAAATAAATAAAAAAGCTGTTGGTGGGAGCCACGGGATCCAATGTGCCGATGGCTTTTGGCAGAGCTGGCTCCAGGGGGAGGGTGTCTGGATGTCTGGCTGCAGCCTACTAGCAGCAGGAAGGTGGAAATTTAAGAGCAGTTGGGAGATACCTTAAAAACCCCGAGGTGTTCAAAGCTAGGACGGCCAAGGCGAAGCATCACCATTACAGGGACCGCGCTGTGAAACGGGAGGACGCCAACACTAAGATGAACATGGTAAAGTAGGGTGTGAGCAGCTCAGCTGCTCTGCTGTCATTAATGCTAAGGGCAGTTTTTACATCTGATAGACCCTTCCTACCTTTGAAAGGGATGAGTTTAGCCGAATAGATGCTGCTCAGTTTGGGGAAAAGAAAAGAAAATCTGTTTGCGGAGCCTAGTTCAGCACGTCCCGCGTCCGGCTGCAAACTAAGCCACGGTTAGCGCCGTCGCTTCCCGAGCAGCTCTGTTCATTATTAAAAAAGTAAACTGGGGAAAAAAAAAAAAAAAAAAAAGAAGAAAAAAAAAAAAAAATAAAAAGGGGCAACCCAGAAATACCTAATGGCACTGGGCAGCCTCTCTGGCGAGGCCAGCGGTGCAGGGTGGCAGGGATCTGACCTGCTCTCAAGAATCGATCCCCTTCTGCCAGCTCGGATTTTGTTTTTTCTTCTTCGCTCGCATCCTTAGTGTGGCAGCAGCAGGGGCTGCCTCCTGCCTTCAGTGCAATAAGCAATCACGCCAGGGGCTCGAGGAATCTGCGGCAAATCTGTAAGAAAAGGAGAAAATTAAATCAAGGGAAGCAGGAGCCAGAAAGGAGCCTGATTTTAAAAAATACAGCAGTCACGATCCGGCTGTGCTCATCAGCTTTGTTTAATAAGAATAAGGAGTTGGTGGGTCGGAAAAAGAAAAGCCAAGGTAAAACAGCACCGCTCAGATCGCGGGTAAACAGCAGCAGGAAATCTTTGGGCTCATCTCGAGTCCTTTCCCAAATGGGAGAGAAGTGGTTTGGCATCGATTTATCGCCGTCGCTGCCTGCTTCCCCCTCCGTCCCTTCCCGGCTCGGCCGGCTGGCGCAGGGGTGCCGACGGCCCCTGCACTGACTCACAGACCCACTTTGGTGCTTTCAAACTCTTGCAGCAACACACTTGGTGTTATCGTTGGGTTTTTTTGTCCCTCTTCCAGTTTGTTTATAATTGTGGGGAAAAGCCGGATGTGGCGGGTTGAGCCTCAATCTTCCGTGTAAGCCGAAGGCTGAGACGCCTCGGTCACGAACTTACAGCGAAATTTGTTCAGCAGCAGTTGGTGGTGTTTTAAGGGAAGAGGTTAAAAAAATATAAATTCTTAAATCAATGTGTACAAGCGCCTCTGTAGATTCCTGGTTTCATTGATGCTTCTTCACAGAATCTACACAGATCTAGGGTTTTTTGGACAAAAAAAAAAAACAAAACACAAACCCAAATCCAGCAGATCTCACGATGAAAAGTAAATATAAGTTTTGTTCCGGCCATGCCTATCGGCAGCTGTTACCCACTGATGGTTCTTGGGTTATAGCTCTAGGTCCAAGCCTTACATCTACACCATAAAAGCCTTACATCTATTTCTTTTCAGCCCTGGAAGGACTTGCTGCATCCCAGAGCCCTTTCAGATCCCTTCCCAGGGAGCCAGTGGTGAAACACAAGCTCAGTAACGGCTCCTGGGACACGCGTCCTGATGCAGGAGCATCCTCAGGAGAGGCCTCCCGCTCCTGATTTCAAACTCCTGCCCCACAGCATCTGTTAGAGCAGTTCTAGACATTTATTTCCCATTAGTATGGTCTCTTTAAGCAAACCTCGACGCCTCTCTTTTGCTTGGGAGTCAACTCTCCCAGGTTTGCTGGGATTAGGGGAGCTGGAGGTTGCAGGGCAATGAAACCAGGGTCTTGATCCCAGCACGGGGCGTGTGGGCGTCCGTCACTCGCTGTGGGGCTGGGACCCACCTCCACGGCTTGGCCCAGCTTGCAGGACATCCACACGCCCACTCGCAACCCCCCCCCTTCTTCTCAAACGCCAACCCCAGCCTTTCTGGGGAAGCTGCAAGAGGACGAGTGTTGATGGGTTTGGGGTTTTAGGCCCCTGCGTGTCCGTCACCACCTTCCCCCTCGCCCATCCTCCTGGGAAACGCGGCTGCTTTGCCCCCCGGGCTCTCCTGCAAACAGCCCCGTGGAGAGGGAGCAAGCACAAGGCTGGGCCCAGCGCCACGAGGAGGTGTGAATAATGCCAGCAGACTGCACATTGTTTCCATTTTAAAACAATTTAATCTAAATCCTCTGATCCTGCAGCTCTTTGAGAATAAAGGAAAGCTAAGTAAGCTTAAAAGGGAGCAAAGCACTGCCTCCGACTTCAAAAAGCCTCAGCAAAATCCATTAAGAGTGTACGAAGAATCTTGAAAGAACAACAGGGACTGACAGGTTGAACGGCACGAGCTCATTACCTTTTCAGATCCTCTCTGTGATGTTCCTGCGCAACGTCAGCCGTGGCACGTAGGTGTCTTTACACTTCGCCCGCGAGAGTACCTGGAGCAGGCTTGGCAAACAGAATGCAAATACAGCGTTAGTGGTTTATGCAGAAACAGCTGCCTTTGGTGGGGAAGGGCAGCAGCCATTTAATGGAACAAAGGAGCAACGTGTTCAGAGGTTGGGGTGGGAGAGGAGGAACAACGAACGCGAACCGAGCGCTCGGGTGCTAAAGGTTTGAATTAGGAAGCAGTCTGTATCTGGCTGGGATGGCTAAACTGCAGGTTTCCTCCTCATTTTGCAAAAGTATTTCTAGATTCAGTTAGCCCGCTTCTGCCTAACTTCATTCTTGCCTCTCCAGCCGTGCAGGAATTAAATTCTTCCTCTGAACCCTCCGCAAAGGGAACGTCTCCAGCCGGTGAATCGGGAGCACCGACGCCACGGCCTGCGGCTTTCCGCACCTTCCGTCCCTCCTCCTCCCCACACCTCCAGAGCAATTCTGCAAATCTGCTTTCCTTATCTCGGCCCAAACCCCTGCTGAGATGAGACACTTAATCCAGCCGGCTCCTGGGCCCCCCCCTTGGGCCGAGCTCCACCTCCAGCCGCCCCCTCCGCGTGCTGGTTGCCTGCAGATAACTGCTCAGTGGCTGGCGGCTGGCCGGAGCCCCTTCCTTAGTCTCTGTGATTAACAGACCTGTGAATTTATTTAGTTCTATAAAAAAAAAAACAAACAAACCCTTCCCAGCAGCTGTAAGACTACCAGCTACGACGATGTATTTAAGAGACATAGGGGAACAAAAAGACCTTCTGCTGTCTGGTGAGATGTGCTGGGATTTATGATTAATAGAGGATTCTGCTAATGAATGATTTGGAGGCAATGCTTAATTTTAGAGAAAAATAGAATAGTATTGACTGACTTGAGCCTGACTGGGGACGGTAGTGAGTATTTAATTCTTCCCTGGCTAAATTCAGCCCCTAGCTGTCTTGCATCTCTGTGAATGATGTTATTTGTCCCATTGAAAAAAAATTAACTAGTCTGAAGCATCCTTAATCCAAAACAAGCCATTTAACTGCCTGCCTTGCTGGACAACTCCAGCACTCGGAGAGGTTTTTCTAACAAACCGCGCCGATGCACATGAGGCTCGTTGCAGGGGAGAGGATAAAAATGGAGAACTTACACGTTTTTCCCCACCACAGCAGAGCAAAGCTTCACCTTCACTGTCAGTTCGCTTGAAATACAAAGGCGAGTCACAGATCCACACTGCTCTCTGTTCTTTTCTCTTCAAGAGAGATTATGACTGTAGATTTAAAAAAAAAAAAAAAATAATAATAAAAATGGAGTGGTACATCCTTAGTCACCGCTGCCTGTGCTCTGACCCAGGGAAAAATCAAGTGTCAAAGCCCCGGGAGCCGGGCGCTGAACCGAGGCACCCCACCACAGCCCTGTCACCCCGCAACGCGCTTGCCAGCCCCATTCTCTTCCTAAAACGTGGAATCACGCAAGCAGCTATCACCCAGCACCATCAAATGTCCTTCCTCCCGTCACCAACGCAGCGGTTTTCACCAAAACTCAGCTACTTTCCCGCGTGGGGAGTGATGGGCAGCAATGTTTAGGGTTCAGCACTTTACGGTGAGAAAGGAGGACGGCAGCATCGCCGCCGTTCCAGGAGCTGGAAGAAAAACTGTCTACAAACAGGGCGGCACAGAGCGCGGCTCAAGGGCCGTTTGGGAACTCCCTGAACCAAAGGTTGTTCCAAACCAGCGTTCAGGACCCACTGACAGATTTATCTTCCGCCCGCCGGCGTGACTGAAGCCCGCCGACCCTTCTGCTCTCACCAGGGAGTGCAGCAGCTCCGCTGCCCCCCAGGAAAAACCCACTCACCCCCCCCCACCCCCCCCCCTCAGGTCCCGTCGCAAGAGGCGGGAGCGTCGATTCAATAAAGGGGAGTTCGTTTTCCCCCATAACATCCATAACTGAACAAACTTCCCCATTCCCAAACTGTAGCTCTTTGACAAACTTCTATTTTTCTTTCTTTGCTCGGCTATATTGTTATTAACGAGCTGCATGCAGCTTTTCAAACAGGAGACTGCCACGGATTCACGCGCTCTCCCGTTTTATTCCGTTCCTTTCTCGGTTACGGACGTTACATTTACCCTTTAGATCACTTTTGAATATTGAGCTTCTTTTCAGAGCTCCACGCAGCCGCTCCGGGCTTCTCCCCGCCACCCGTTTCCCTAAGAAGCAGACACTTAAATTAGAGGCTGTCATTGCCTATTTTCATTTACCAATTCACTAGGTATTAGAGTAAGACTTACTAACCTGCAGTACCTTAAAAAAAAAAAAAAAAAAAAAGTGGCATATGATTCTAAAGAGATGCTCAGTTTTACCACGCTTTTTAATGCATTAGTAAAAAAAAACACAGCATTTTATTAATTTATAAAGTACAGAGTTTCAAGCAATTAAAGCATACGTACAGACTAGCTAAAAATATCTAGCAGCTGTGAGGCTACTCGCCTAGCATGGCAAAACAAGGAAGAAAATGAGTAAAAACCAGCCATTCTCGTGCCTTGCAACGTTCTCACGTGTTGCGAGGGCGTGCAGACCTATATGTATTCCAGAAAAATGGCCCTGGTCTCAACTAAAAACAGCCCTGGAAGGCGGCCAGCATGCTCTGAGGAGAGGTGGCAGAAAGCAGGCAATAGAGTAGTAGTGCCTGCAGGATTAGGAAGAGGAGGATGAAGAAATCTTAGTTCAGAAAGGCAAAGCAGAGTAATATTTATAACTGAAAGGTGCGGAAAGGAAAACCCAGCATACAGTCCTTCAGATGGACTCCAAGATGAGTTAGAAATCAAGGCAACAGCCAGAATTAGGTAAGACTGGGCTGGGCTGCAGGGGTAGAGCTGCAAAGCCAGACCTGTCTCCTGCCAGAAGCCAGAGGTGCTCTCCAGGACGGGGCTGCCGTGGCTCATCGTAACAAAAGATCCAGATCACCCTTTCCAGTCCCCGTACGGGCCGTCTGCACCGGGGTGCCAGGAGCTGAACGAGCCTCAAAGCAACCGTGTCAATCATTGCTGCAAACAAGCACTCTAAATTCAAAAGTCAAGTTTAACGTAATGGTTTGAATTAACTTATTTTTCGTCTGTTCCCACAACAGCTCTTTTTCAGGGACCACTCCTATCGGGTCGCCCGTTTGTTGCCTGTTACAGGGACCAAGGTCAATCAATGCTTATTTGTGCAGGACAAACGTCTTTTACAGCCTGAAGGAGCAGGTGAAAAAAAATGTTATACATCCCCACGGAGGGTTGGTAGAGCCCCTGGATAAAGTCACAGCAGGAAGATCCTCTCCATGAATTTAGCTTATGACACACTGCTTGTAATTGAGTCTTCCATATTGCAGCCACAATCTTCGGAGGGAGGACAGGGGATAGAAATAGATAATCTGTTCCTAACAGAAACAGATGTATTTCTGTCCTCTGTCTGGCAGAGGTGGCACGGAGGGGCTCACCATGTTATCTTTCTTTTGGCAGTTTATTCCTTTCCTACAAAAGGAAGCTGTCCCTGAAGGACACTATTTCACCTCCGTGCAACAGCAGAGCAAGGCAGGAACCTTTGCCAGGCGCCCCCAGCTCCTTAAGAAAAGCAAAGATCAGCAATAGTTTACAGATACATTAAAATATTTTTCAAACAGGGTGCAAATCAGACTCCCCATTTACCTGACAAGATTCCAGTTCAGTCCTTTTCATTTCCCTTGTACGAACAGCTGGCACAAGCAGCTAACACAGCAGGAAGCATGATTCCTTAAACTACTTTAAGTGTTAGTGACGCATACGTTCTAATCAAGAATTGGCATCTTTAACATTCTTTGTATTTATTTTAAGAAAGCATTTTAGTTAATCTAAGCAAGAATATTCAAAAGCTACTGTGAAGAAAATACATTTTTGTTTCTGCTCAAACTTTTCAGAATAAACACTGAACACTTTGCCAGCTCATTCAGCAGACATCACTCAGTTACGTGGCCAAGCAACACGAAGGGAAGAGTTACACACACACACAAAAAGAAAAAAAAAAGCTCCAATTAAAGCTCCTAGAGACAACTTCTGTGCCAAGGACGAGCGACGTGGAATTGCCAGTGAGAAGCCAGGGCTGGAACAGCAGTCAACATGCAACAGGGCAGAGAAGCCCGTCTCCAGATGGTTTCTTTGCCATCCTTTGAAAGGGCAGTCACGGCACCGAAAGGACACACAGGGGTTGCTTTAAAAAGAACAAGTTCAGAAACTCCTCCACGACCGTGCTGAGTATGGCCGGATGGTCAAGGTTACCTCAGCCAAGTTTTCACCTATGCTACCCACTGCATAAAAAAAAAAAAACCAACAAAAATAAAAACACCGAAGGTTTGCATAAAAATAGATATTTCTTTTTTGTAGTTCTCCTCTTAAAATTACTGTACAAATAAATAAAGTTATTGTCCATTTAAATATAACCGTTCGGGAAAACTGGAAGCCGGCAGCAGTCTTCTGATCAACCCACTCATCCAAAGGAAGGCAGAGTTGTTCACCACCTCCAGATCACAGTGGGACATGATACCTGCAAAGGAAACACGCCAAAGTTGCAAAATAAAAGGCTTCTTGGCGAGGGCACTGGCTCATACTAAAGGTCCCCCGGCCCACTGTTCTGCTCGGGGACATCAGTAGCATACTTACACGGAGGGCAGAGCACACAAGCAGGCTTTCCTCAGTAAAAATCTCATTTCTGAGCAATGTTTAACTAAGGACTTGCTAAATCACAGGTTATATCCATATCTTTGTCTTTAAATTCATGGGGAAAAAAAAAAAAAAACCAAACCGCATTTAAATGTTTTTCGCACTGTTCTGAGACTTAGCGTTTGGGTGCCCTGTGATAACAAAGCATTATGGACAAAATAAATAAATAAATAAATAAATAAAAATATATCTCCTCTGTTTGATTCAAACTTGCTATTGGAGAATTTCTTCTGAACACCTAGATTTAACATTGTGAGAAACCCTTTTTAGCTTCTGTGCCACTCCTGATTTTAGATCAGGAAAGTCGGGTATGAAATGGGTCTGTTTTCTGGACTGAAGCATCCAGGAACTGGCGTTTAAGACAACCCCATTTTCGAAAGGCGAGTCGCTTTTCATTTCAGTCCACGCTAACGCAGCAGCTGACAGCGTTTCCAACCGCGGGAGGCGAGCGCCTCGTGGCGTGGAGCGCTGCGCCACAAGTCCCTGCTGCATCAACTCCGATTACATGCCAAAAGCAAGTACAGGAGGGATTCAGCTAGCTTCCCACCAAACAGGAAAATAAAATAAATGAAGAGGATTGAGACAGACGGGGGGGGTTCGAGTGGCTGTGCTGGCGTTTTACTTCTGCGCCTCGTCTGCAAACCTATTTACCATCGTGGTTTCACAATGAAAAAGGAAAGCCAACAGCAGTAAGCCTGGCAGTGTGCTGCTGAAGCCTTTTTCCCCCCCCCCCCCTCTTTATCCTTGCAAATTCCTCTGTAGCAGGCTAACCACTTCAGGGCTGGCCTGCCAACTAGTGGTACTGTTGCTATTACAGTATGCCCGGCCTCCTGTTTCCCGGTGGCTGTCCCCAGAGCTGCGGAACCTCCCAGGCTAATCGAGTCGTTTTCAGCGATAAAGCTGATTCTTCTAGATAAATAGAAGTGTTGATTTTGTCCACTGAGATGCCAGCAAAGCATCTGATGTAGTACCACACAAGAAAGGATTAGGTAAGACAGGAGAAGATTGGGATTAGTAAAAAGGAAGATGTAAGGCAGTTAACCTGTCCCAAGGGAAAACTGAAACGGATAATTTGGAAACGAAGAGGCTAGAGTAGAGTTTTATCAAGATTGGCACTGGCAGCGGACTTGTTTAATTAATGTTTTCACTAACAGACCTGGCACAATTAGAAGTGTGTTGATGACACAAAGCTGGAGGAATTACAGTTATAAAAAAGGATGAGGAAATATTCAGGGTCATTCACCATTTCTTCTAACTGACAGGGGCTGAAACTCAGTAATAGAAAACATAAGGTCACGCATCTGTCAACAAAAGTAACTGCTGTAACCCAGAATGTTATTGATTTGAAGCAACTCAAGCAACAAAGGAGCTTTAGGATACAAAGTAATTATGAGAGCATTAAGTGAGAGAGATATGAGAGAGATGCCATCCTGGAATACATCAGGAGGAATATTTCCAGACTAGATCATAAATGCTGGTGCTTTACAAGGACCTGAAGAGGCTCTTCTAGAGCAAGTGCAGAAATGATAGAGGAGCCAACCAACCAACCTTGGACAGGAAGAAATGCTGCTAAGGTTACAATAGCTCTCTGTTTCACTGTTGTAAACCAGTTCAGAACGGGCCAACACCCGGGAAGGAGAACGTTTTAAACTAAAGAATAAATCTGTCATGAGATCAAGAGTATTAAACCCATCAAAAAGTCATTTGTGTTGCAAAGGACAATGTCCTCAGCTATAAGGACAGCCAGATGCTCAGTCTCAGTGACAGTATCAGACACAAACCCTCTTATTTCTGCGATTCATTTATCAAATAAATTCTAGGATACACAGCCCACGATAGCAGAAACTCCCTTCTTTATTTTCACTGCTCTGCTGAAAGACATGGAATCTGACAGACCATCTTGAATTTTGTGGTGAACGTTCAAACTTCCATCAAGGCAGACATTAAAGAGGCCATCAAGAACTCACAAGGATTAGGATCAATTTTTTTTTTTTTTTTCCTCTCAGCGTGGGCACATGAAGACAAGAGTCTCACTGCAGGACTCAGCAACACCACCAGACTTCCAGTCCAGCCTTTTCCAAGACATTCTTCAAGGCCTTTACATGTTAAACAGTTCAGGACAGGAAGCTCCTCTATCATCTGGTGCACCCCGCTCTGACACACACTGAGCATTAACAGTGTTTTAATTTAAAAAAAATAAAAACTGTCTTTAATCTGGCAGTTACTCTCATGCCCGAATACTATATTTAAGATGCACACCTACAAATATACAGTAACTTCGCCCACTTCAGCTTTTATTTAGTTAGCAAATATATCGTAAAAGCAACAAACAAGCACATGTAAAAATGCTGGAGTGATGGCAGAAATCTGCCCTCCTTTGTGGAAATAGATGAGGTTCAGGGTGGCCCAAATAAGAGACAGCACAGCCAATTCCCTGAACACACACCATTAAGGTGGCAAAAGCATCTTTGTTAAACGTACTTCAACCAAATTCCTTTTCCCAAACGTTTATCGAAGCCTTTTCTTTTTTCTAGCTTGACTGCATCTTTCTATAGCTGAATTTTCAGAACTGCTACAGGTCACATTTGATTTAGAGGGCTTTGGCCCAGCGGTCAATAACAGAAAATCCCCTGTAAGCTCAGACTAAACAGGGAGTAGCCTGGCAGACACTAACCTGAACGTCCTTCATCTCTATGAGACGGAGCGTTGACGTTTTTTGCCGTAGGAGATTTGCCTGATTCGGACTTCCAACTGGAAGGCATCCAGTCTTTCCTTTGGGTTAAAAGCCAACATATCGTGCAGGAGCTTGCAGAGATCATCCGGCATGGACTTCTTGTTCTTCAGGGGAATTTGTAATTTCATGTTGGGATTCTCCAGCAATGCTTCTCCGAGGGGAATAAGCTCCTTGCCTTGGCAGATGTAAGTTCCTGAACAGAGATTAGAAGGAGTCAGGTTATACAGGTAAAGTCTATGAAAAATACTGTCATGAGCAGTACAGATAGACAATCTGGAAAACAAAACACTGAAAGCTTACTGGAAAGATCACTTATTAAGAAGTGACTGCCAAGTCAAATATTGGGAGAAGTTGTTATCAGAAGAGGCTTTTACTTTCAAACGGGAATCAAGATGTTGCACAAGGCTGTGTGTGTGACCATGTGTGGAGCAGAGGGAGCAAGTTTAAGCATGGCGTGTTCGTCAAGCGGTCATACAGACCATCTGCAGAGAAAATGGGCTGCTGGGGTGAACTTCCTCCATTTTACTCCATTTCACCCTACCAGCAGACTCAGGAGCTCTAGAGAAGGGAGGGAGACTGTGCTTGGCTGAGGTGACTTGAAAGAGTTAAACACAAAACTTATTTGCTCAGTTAGCCAAACACTTTTCAATTAAAATGACAAGCATATGCCATTTACCCTTAGCCAACTTCTCCTCAGCAAGATTAAGGAGGGGAAATGTAAATTTGCTCCTGGTAATCTAAATAATTTCACCGGTTGTTGAAAATGATTAACCAGCTTCCAAAACAGACAGTAAAAACAGCTTTGCTCACTCAAGCTGTTCTGCCCTTGCAACGAGCAAAGAATAAATGTTTCAAAGGCAGTGACCTGTCTGCGTATAGAAAAGGTTGGCCTTACAAACTCCTTATCTCAAGTTGACGGGTAGCAATTTTAATGAAATCTGTTCATGCTTTGGCCTCAGCTGCAGCCATTTGCTTGTTTCTGTAGGCAGGAACTAAAACATTTATCAATGTTTGGCATTTTAAAAAGAAATAAATAACAGAATTAGAACTGAACCTACTTGGAAGCCGAAAAAAAATAATTAAAGGAGTAGCGCACTAGCTTCTCAAAGTTCTTCCGTAGAAATTCCTTTTAAGAACTTAAACATTTAAAAGACAGACAGACAGGTATACTATGATCTCAGAGCCTGGGTAAATGTCTTCAATTATTATGCTAATGTGCAAGACTGGCAGTCTCTCCTCTCGAGATGGATTTTCCACTGCAATATACTTTTCTGAAATCATTTACTACAAAGTATTTCAAGCGTGGGGGATTTGAAGGAAGGAGGAGGCGGGGAGAGAGAGAAAAAGAGAGAGAGAGAGAGCAGGCCATCGGACGAGTCATCCCTGTGAGATCTTGCATCTCTAAACCATGAGGAAACTCAGCCAGATGGCAGCGAAGCTTATCTAAACATCCTTTCCCAGTTTATTATTTGGTTCCTTGGAACATCCTTTCAGTGCTCCGAGTGATCCCGTCCCTTGGTTATGCCAAGTCAAGGATACAAGCGAACCCATGAGCCCAAGGCCAGGAAGGTTTTTGGTTTGGCATTTCTGGACACAGATGATAAATCCTCCACCAAGAGCGTAACTGTAAGACAGATGCCTCACCAACAGCTATGAGATTTTTTTTCCTCTTACAATTCTTTAGTGACAATAAGGGCCAAATCCATTTCTGAAGAGCGTTCCTTGGGGTGAGGAAGGCCTGACAGCAGAGAAGCCAGAAGTGATCTTTCCCTTAACCTTTAAATCCTCCAGAGTATTTTTGAACAATCTGGCAGAAGGAATTGTCTTCCAAATAAAATAATGATTTGTAAATATAAAAAGCATTCCTTCTGCCTTAGTGATTTGCCTTCAAGACCTGGAAACCCTGCGTGAGAAGCAACCAAATTAGGAGCAATGCATGCTGAAGGAAAAGAGGTTTCTTTGCAGTTCTCTTAAAAACAAAAATCCAAACCCCACAATAACCCCAACTTTGGGTTTCTTTGGGTTTCAAAGTCCTAGAAAAAGCCACAACCAAAGCATCTATGACACAGCATTTGTAACCATGCCTGGGAAAACGCCTCTCAGAGGATCCCTACAGATCCAGAACATCCACTGACAACAGGACAGCACCGATCTGGATCCTCACCGAGCAATTCCTTCTCGGTATCCCCATCTCGGAAGGTGATCCTCTCGACCATCGCCCAGAAAATGATCCCCAGGGCAAATATGTCAGCCTTGGCAGTGTAGTGACCTTCCCATACTTCCGGAGCCATGTAGAAGTTTGACCCACACGCAGAGGAGAAGCGATGCTGGTTCACATTCCCTTTCCCCTGACACACCTTGCTGAGGCCAAAATCTGCTACCTGCGATGCACAAAAAGAAAAGCAAAATCGGTCATTCACAAACACCAGGTTTACCAGCGTGTTTACAAACCACGGCTCGGCGAATTCCACCGGTGAATTGGTGACACCACCAGTCAGGTGGCAGCCCCAGTGAAACAAATTGCTGGTTAGTTCCCCTTGGCTGTCCATTCAACTCCTTTCCTGTTGTTTGTTCCCCCTCATAAAACGGGCAAAGCAGGTATCTGATCGTCATCTTTCTGTGAAGTTCACTCTGATTACATCTAATCGGGCATAAATATGCCTTGAACTACATCTACAGGAAAAGTGGCTCTTACTGTTCCATGGCGAGCACACGGAATCTCTTGCATTACCGTTATTATCCACAGTGATTAAGATGACATTGATTTAAGTGTCCCTTGATGGCTCTGCAGGTCGAAGTACAAATATCATTATTGATCTGAGCGGTCAAGCCATGAATTATCCAAATGCACAGACTTCTTATTTTATGTCTAACTACAGAAACTCTCAGGACTGAAAGTTCAGGAGCGAGCTGGCTCCCAGCTTTCTCAGCTCTCTGAAAAGCAGCTGTATAGGCTTTCAGTCTGCTGCTGTAAGAAAGGCAGCTAGCCAGTTTCTGCTTCAATCAGGGCACCAACATGAAGCACGAAGACATTCCCCACCTCCCCTGAGCAGCAGTTCATGCTTGAGGCGGCAATCTTGAAAGCGCTCGCTGTTGTAACGGGGCAGTGTATTCTTAAATTTTATGGGAACAGAAAATATTGCTTCATCTTTGACCGATCGTGATCTCTCTGATTATCTAGCATGTGGAAGTTAGACAGCCCTGAACTGCTCAACAGGATAAGCAGTGGATGAAGGACGTTCCAGAAACACACCATCATGACCTCTACTTCCTCCCAAGACTCCTAAAAAAAAAAAAAAAAAAGCCCACTCCTGATATCAGATGTTCTGAGTACACTTATTACCAGTATCACAAGACTTACCAAAAGCCCATTCCAAAGCATATGATGCATAAGCACGAAGCTCATTCACTTGCTACAGCAAAGCTTTATTCCCTTACCTTTACTATGGGACTTCCACGTCTATGAGAAATCAAAATATTGTCGGATTTCAGGTCTCTATGCACTATCTGGTTTCTGTGCAGGAAAGCCACGGCGCTGCTGAGCTGCCGCATGAAGCTGTTATTCATCTGAGCATCGGGGCTGCGAGACAGCAGGTATTCGTTCATGTTGCCACCATCACAAAACTCCATCACAAACCACAGAAAGCAGGCCGATTTGGGATCCATGCACCTCCGTCCTTTCAGGCAGGTCTCAATCAGCAGCAAATGGCTGTCCGATTTCCTGTAACGGTGACTAATTGGCTGAAAGACTTGGCCGTTCTGCAGGATACACTCCTCCAACTGGATCACGTTTTCATGTTGCCTCTGGATGCTCTGCAGGGCCCAGAACTCTTGCAGAGCCAGTTCTACGTTTTCAGGCACGTTACAGTGCATCCTTTTTACAGCTACTTTGCTTCTAGTTTGGTTAACGATGGCCTCATAAACCACCCCATAGCTCCCTCGGCCCACTTCTTGAACGATGCTGTACTTGGCTTCCGTAGCCATCCCTCACTTTGGCCCAGTAAACAGCAAATCAGAGGAAAATATTTGAACTCATGGCATTCAGTCGTCACCTGCAGAACCCTGGAAAAGAAGGGGATAAAAAGCTTAAAACTCTCCCAAAGCAAGCAGCTTACCAGTGATCAACTGCAAACTCTTCCAACTAGTATCAATTTTAGCGGTAGTTGGTGCAGCTGCATGAGGACCAACAGCTAAAACAGGGTTTTAAAGAGAAAGCCTATATCCATGGTAACTTTGAGACATTATCAAATACGATCCTGACTGCACAGTGGGATACAACCACCTGGGAAGCGACATCGATTTCTCCACAGCGGACGCAGTTTAGTGAGAAAGAAAAAGAGCTATGTAAACACGTTTCCTAAGCAGGGCAGGAAAGGGAAGACAAGACCTCCTGGGTAACAGCTGAACTTACTTTTACCAGAATTGACGTTTAAAGAAATAAAGTTAGCCAGCAGTGCCAGCTTGGCACTAGACCTTTCACCCTCACTTTCCCCCCTTGTAAATTTACTTATCCATCAATAGCTACATCATGTCCCTGTGCTTCCACTACCAATTTTCTACCAGTCCATGCCCTGATACTCACTCTCTTTCTCCAGCTCACCCTCTTCCAACCCCTTCACAAGCCTTACACCACACTTCCCCTCCACCTCAACCACTGTCCCGCTCCCAGGCTGTTCTTCACTTCACTGTCTAGTTCAGGTTCCCACTGCAATTCTCATGGCCCCTCAGTCACTCCCCATCCCAGCCCTATCCCCCGATAATCCCGCTCCCTTTTCAGCCTCTCATTTCAATTCTCCCTGCGCCAGTGCTCTCCAACACCATCCCAAGTTTTGCTCCCTAACAACACATTGATCATTCTCTGCTTTCACGCCCCACATGCTCCTTTCCCAATCCCCTTAACCCTCCCCACTACTCCCTACCCCACCTGCTGCTGCCTTCAAAGCCCTCATTTCCCCCTAAATTCTCCCTTTCCAAAACCTCAGTCCAGCATCCCCAACCTAACCCTCCCCTTCCCAGCCCACCCTAGCTTCCTTCTCCACCCCCTCCAGCTCCATCCCCCAGCCATGCTCCTTTCCCAAATCCTCCATCTTTTCACCCAACACTCTCCCACCCTCTTCCCCACTCTCCAGCCCTCAAGCCTCCCCACTCCTCTCCAAAGCAGCCCCCACCTCCCCCTAAACCCACTCCCACTGTAGCCCTGCTCCCTTCCCCATCTCCACTCACCCCAGCCCCTTTCTTCCCCTCCCCTCCCCACCCCACTCCCCCCCAGGCCCCTTCCACACCTCCACCAGCCCCTCAGGCCCAGCTCTTCCCAGTATCCCACCTAAACACCCTTCCCCTACCCCTACTTCTGACACTTTCCCCCCTCTCAGACACAGCTCTTCCCCACTTCTCACCTAAAATCACTTCCCCAGACCCTCTCCCCTTCCCATACCCCTAATCCCTGCCCCCTTCCCCTCCACCCCCTCAGGCCTGGCTCTTCCCAGACCCCTGCCCCCTTCCCCTCCACCCCCTCAGGCCCGGCTCTTCCCAGACCCCTGCCCCCTTCCCCTCCACCCCCTCAGGCCCGGCTCTTCCCAGACCCCTGCCCCCTTCCCCTCCACCCCCTCAGGCCTGGCTCTTCCCAGACCCCTGCCCCCTTCCCCACCACCTCCTCAGGCCCAGCTCGTACCCGCTTCCCCTCCCGCCAGCCCCTTTCCTGCCCCGGCCCCCTCCTCCCCTCACCACCGGCCGCCGCTCGCCCCCAGCTCCACCGCCAGCACCGCAATTCCCGCCTCAGCCGCGCCGCCCCGCCCCCTGGCCGCTGCCTCCCAACCAGAACAAAGGAAGCGCGAACGAACCAATCACAAACCAGAGACGACGGGGAGGGGAGGGGTGAAGCCGCCGCTGGACCAATCAGCGAACGCTTCGCCATCCCCCTTCCACCGGCTCAAGGAACCCCGGGCGGGGAAGTTCTGCGTCTGCGCGGTGGTGGCAGGAAGGGAAGAACTACAAGTCCCAGCAGCCCCTGCGGCGGGCGAAGGGTGGCGGCCGAGGACAAACCTCCGCAAAACTCGGGGCGTGACAGTCAAGGCTATTCCCTCCCCGTCCGTCTGTCCCTCCGTCTGTCCCACTGTCCCGGCAGCGGTTAGCGAGGCAATCGGGAGATGCAGCCGCCTGGCCTCCTACCTCTGTTTTGGCCCTGATGATAAAATAAAATAAATAAAATAAAATAAAATAAAATAAAATAAAATAAAATAAAATAAAATAAAATAAAATAAAATAAAATAAAATAAAATAAAATAAAATAAAATAAAATAAAATAGAATTAAATTAAATTAAATTAAATTTGGGGGGAAACTTTTGGCAGAAAGTACCCAGCCCACCCAGGTCCCGCTTTCTCCTGAGTCGGGGTTCCTGGTGCAGCCCCCCCTCCCCAAGACACGGCGGCATCAAGCGCCTCGAGAAGAGCGGCAGAGGGATGTGCCCCCCATCCCAGAGCATCACTTGCGGGTTCCGCCCCCCCCAAACCGTGGGTCACCCCCTTGTTCTCAACCCCCCTTGGGGTTCAGGGCGTGTGTCCGAGGAGGAGGATGGGGTCTCACCATGGGCAGGCTGATCGCCAGCTCGTTTCTCTTCATTTGCAGCATTTTCTGGCGATGGAAACGTGCCTTTTTGGTCCAGTTTCTTATTTCCCTCTGTGCTGCGGGGGGGAGAGAAAACCGGGTGTGTGCGGGTGAGATGGGACACGGGGGTTCCCCCACGGCACCTGCAGAGATTGGTAAAACAAAACAGTTTTTAACGACCTGATGGAGCCATTTGCTGATATTTTAATTTATGGAGAGTGACTGGCTTTTGTTGCGTGGTGGGAGGCAAAACTCTCCGCTGGGGGATTTCAGACTAGCCCACATTTTGTTCCGGCTCCTGTTTAACTCTGCCTGGCCACCTTTCCAAACTAAAATACGATTTTATGAGGTGTCTTTGGGGTGTGCGGTTGAGCTGCTGGAGATGTCTGTGTCCTAAATAAGCCGTTAACACTGATGGGGCTGGGAAGAAGGATCGTTGAGAGGCAGCTGGGACCATCTCCGTCCCAGCAGTAAGGGCTGTTGTGGGCCTCCGGCGAGAAAACACTTGGAACAACCACCCTGGTTGCGTTTGCTTTCAGAATTGCAACCAAATAAAAACCCACGGTGGTCCCACGCATCATCATGGGGGGCAGCGATGGGGATCCAGGGGTTGCAAGCTGGGCGCCGGCCTCAAGGACCGGAGCATCCCACATCCCCCGGAATTAATCAACAAGGCCGGGGATGGTTTCCCCCAGGGCCAACCTCTGCGTGGCCATCACACACCCTCAAGATCAGTTTTAATATCTGCCGGAGGCTACGAAATAAAACCACGGCATCGGTCGGAAATATTTCCTTGCATCTTCAAACCAAGAAGCCAGATCCAGGGATGAGGTATCAACACCCCCCCTCACCACCCCCCTAACCCCCCAAGGGGCACATCAGCCCCAAATCCTGGCACCCAACGGAGCTGCTGCGGGGAGGATGAGCCTGGGAGGATGTCGGGTACCACCCCGTCGCCTTCCCAGCCATGTCTGGCTGGAGGGGAGGATTTTAATTGCCTCTGCCGGATTTTTATTCCCTTATTATCACGGCAGCCTCCTTCAGCCTCCGCAATGTCCCGCAGCCAGGAGCCCGCAGCTCATCCCTCCTCCTCTCCCCTTTCAGCCACCCGTCTGCTTGCTGCATTTCTGTATTTTACCCTGGAAAACAAACATTTTCTTTTTAACTTTTCTGCCTGGGCAAGCTTTCCTAGATCTCTAGCATGTCTGCCCCTAGCTGCCTCTTTCCCCATCCCTCGTGAAAGGATCACCCCATCATTCCCACCCCTCACCCATAAACCCACTCCTGTTATCAGGAAAAATCATTAGTGTTACATTTGGGTTAAAAAAAAAAAAAAATTAAGCATCAAGAGGGTCAGTGGTGCAGTTGACCTGTCCTTCCTCACCCACACAGCATCCCACGCCGACTCCCCTTCACTCCTGCAAATGCATTGTCCCACGTGTCGGGGTGTTGGGGGGGAATATTTTAATGGAGCAATCTTAATAAATAAAGATAAAATAAATCAAATCCCTGAATGTTAAACATGAGGCCCGCTGGGACAGTTTGGACTCTATTAAAAAGCACTGCACATTCCTCCGGTGACTCAGAGGGTTTATGTGCTAAAGACGACAGTGATGTAGCAGTTTTTCTTTCTCAAAGCACTAAATGCTGGGGTTTGGGGGTTATTTTTTGGTGCATCGTGGTTTATCGGGGACGAACCCAGGCTCGATGCTGGGACCTGGACTGGGAATGATGGGATGAGCAGAGGGTGTGAAGCTGGTGGGCTGGGCAGGGCTGTTGGGAGGAGAGATTTAGTCGCTGCTGAGCAAAGATATTTCTTATCGTTTGGTGGTTTTTAATTTTTTTTTTTTTTTCTATTAGTATTATTGATTGCTGAACCTGTTTCATTAAACTTGAAGTTTTTTTTTTTCCCCTGGTGTGAGCCCGGCCGGAGGCAGCCCAAACAATCGGGGCTGTGCAAGGATGGATTCATGCTGGTGTTTTGGGCTCTGAGCCACCCTTTGCTCTCAGATGGGATCATCAGCACCTCAAAACCCAAATTCTGCCCCAAATCTTGCCCCCCCAACCCAGGGCAACTGTGCTGGCTCGTATTTCTGGGTTGGTATTGGCTCCATCTCACTGCCTATAGGCATCACAGTGTCTATAAGCGATGGCAATCTCCTAGGGAAGGTGATTGATAATTATCTCAGCTCCCAGGGAAAGCAGCTCCATCGCAGCCAAATGTCACTCATCAACAGCTGGGGGGGGGGGGGGACAGAGGGGCTCTGGGTACCGGCAGGGATGAAGCTTCATCCTCATCTCACATCCAGCAGAGCTTGGTACAGGGTGGGGATGCAAAAAAAAAAAAAAAAAAAAAAAAAAAATAGAGAAAAAGATGCAATTAGGGTGAAAACTCATTTGTCCACCCCGCAGCAGCGTGGCGGGTGTCGGAGGTGGCTGCGGGGACTTTCCGACCACCTGATGGATGTTGGGGGGGGACACACACAGCTTCTCTTCTCCCCGGAAATAGCCGCCGGTGGGAAATGAGTCACCAGTTTCAATCTGGTTTCTCGCCAGCCTGGCCCCGCCACCATCCATCAGGCAGGGCTGAGCCGAGCGGATTTTTTTTCCCTGGGGAAGATTTTTTTTTTCCACGGGAAGGAGGAGACAGGGGGTACCATGGCCCCAGAGCAAGAAGCGAGTAGATGGTTTGAACATCATCCTTCCCATCTTTCAAGTGCTGGCCCCGGGGGTTGAACATAAATATACCAACGGGGCGGGGGGTAATGGCATCACCGCTTCCGGATGCTTTGGGGGGCAGAGACCCTCAGCCAGCAATATTTCAGCTTCTCCCAAGGCATTTTTTGGACCCCCAGACCCATGTACATGTATATGGACATGCCCACACTTCCCATGCCATGGGTTCAAATCTTTCACCCTACAAAGATCTTTCTCTGCCCCCTGAAGTGTTTTGGGGGGGGGGTGTGCCTATAGTCAAGAGCTTTTCCGCCCAGAATAATCAGCCTATGGTGCTAATAAGGTGATTTTCCCACACTGGGATCAAGCTTATCTCCAGCTGCACCAGCCGATCACAGCGTGGAGGGGACATACAAGGGGTGAATCACCATATGTTGGAGCACATTTGGGATCTACCACTTTCCCCCTCCATTTGAACAAAAAAACTGCTTTACAGCCTGATTTAACAGCTTCTCCACCATCCCATCCTCCAGCCTCCAACCATCCCCGTGGCCTCCCAGTCCCTGCGTTGCTCCTCGGAGCTAAGCATCCCATGCAACGCTCCAGATGCGGCTCCACTGGTGATGAATAAAGAAGGGTAATGGCTTCAGGCACCTCTGAAATTCAGATACCCTCCCGGCTTTCAGGCACCGTCGTCTCGACGGCCTTAATTCATCAGTAAGAGGTAATTTGTGAAAGGATGGGTGATCATCAGCAAAGTCTCATTGCTCCCCGCTCCAGCGCTAATAAGCGGCTGCAGAAGGGTTTGAGCGACAGCTAAATGAGCGCAATCGAGCTTTCACTAAAACGGCAATTTCTAAAGAGATGACACAAATACTTGGCGGGGCTCCGTCAAGCCCCCACCGCTCGCTGAGGCTGAGCACCGAGCGGCAGAGCTCTTGTGTTGCTGGCAATATTGCCCGTTGGTTTTATTTCTTGAGGAACCTACTCGTGATGCTGCTTGGAGAAGCCCACAGGCTGCTGTCTGGGTGTGCTCCGATTCGTGGGCTCGGGCCGAGGTGGCTCCGTGGCGATGGTGGTGGCAGCTAACATCTGTGTGTCCCAGGGGAGAACGTGGCTGAGGAGGGCAGAGCCACGGGGATGTTTGAGGGTGGTGTGTCCCAGCGTAGGGTAACCAGGAGGATGGTCTGGGATGCTGGCACGAAGAGCTTTTGGGGCAAAAATCACCCTGAGTGATTAATTTGGAGATGTCTGAAGAAAAGTCATCGCCCGTCTTTGTTCCATGTATAGGGCTGATATGACAGGACCCCCAAAACCAACACCAGAGGAAGGGTGGGGGCTCCAGGTCTATCTGCAAGCAAAGAGGGTGCCAGTGGAGGGTTTCTGATCTGGTCAGGGCAGCTTGGTCCCACAAAGTAATTCAAAAAACACCAGGATGGATGTTCTCCAGCACCTTGCTGTGGGCCAGAGATGCTCCCCAGATATTGCTGATCTCCAAGAG